TTTTTTTTTTTTTTTTTTTTTTTTTTTTTTTTTTTTTTTTTTTTTTTACATTTTCTTCTTTGACAGTAAATATTTGAAAATTAAAAGCACATTTTTTTTAAATTACTATTTTTAATTTAAAAATTTTGGTTGGATTTTAAAAACATTTCTAAAAATAGATATCAATAAATGGAAATAATTGTTTATAAATTTAATTTTCAATAATTAAATAATCAAACCGCGTAAATAATTTTGGATATATATTTAATATATGTATGATCGAAAAGTAAAAATGTAAAATGACGTTTTGAAGGCTTGTTTTTTCTTGTATAATGGAAAAATGAAAATAAAAGGAGGGGCAAAAGAGTAAAAGGATAAAGGTTTGACATTTATTATTAAAAAAAAAAGGCAAATTTGTTTTCAAATGAAAGAAATTATGGTGTAATTACAATTTTTAATTACGGAATTAGTTAGGTAACTTTCTCGATCACATCTAGATAAGTATATATATACACGTGAAATATTGAAATAAATTTTTTTATTTTTCACTAAGATTTGTTTGTATGAAAGTGATGCATATCTAAAGACTCTAAATCGAAATCGAGAACAAAGTTTTATTGTAACAATCCAAACCTAATTATCTGCTTTGGTCTGTTATGTATCGTGTTCAGCATCATAGATTTAAAACATATCTGTTAAGGAGAAGTTTCCATATTGTTATAAAGAATGTTTTATTTCCTCTCCGCGAGCTCTCACGTTTATGTATGTTTGTATAAACCATGTTGCATGTCGTTTCATATCCTACTCCAAGAGAAGAACCATTTACTCGGTATCTTTTATACTCAACGGTTCCAAAACTTTATTTTTTTCACTTACAAGGAGAGTGAGCCATTTGGTGGTTGTGTTGTTGAGTCAGGGTCAACACGGTCTAGCTTCTACACCGTATCATTTATGATTGCAACATTCTTGAAATTTAATGAAATTAAAAGTGTAGGACATACTTTCTTCTTGAATTGTTTTAAAATTTTATGTATTTTTTCTAAAATTATTTAAATAAACATCTTTTTCGAGGATATTTTGCAGTTGTGTTTGTTTTGTAGGATTTATAAATGAGAATGTCTTGACTTGATGTTCCAGTACTATCCTCTATTATCGATAATTTAATATTATTAAAATTATATAATTTTTTACGTCTTTAATAATTTAATATTTTTAAATTATGAATTCAGTTTGTATTAATTTTACTTTTTTTAAAAAAAAAAACAAGTTAATGGATATTTTCTCTAATTTTATTTTTATATATTCAACTAAATATAAAAATGATTGGAAAACGCGAAAAAGAAAAATATGGAAGAAAAATAATTAAAAAATTGGACGTTGGGAAGTCATAACGGCTATATTTTGTTTGAACTTGAAAGCCATACCCCATTTCTCCTTTTTTTTCCTCATTTCAACGGGTCTTCTTCTTCTTCTTCTTCAATAGCTCTCTGTAATTCCTCATCCTTCCTAAATTAGCTTTCTTCATAATCCAATCTTGAAGTTCCTCGATCAAAAACCCTAGTGATCTGCAAATCAATCTTCAAATTAAATCGAGGTAAATTCTTCTGCACTTGTTTTTTTTCTTCTGGATCACTGTAATGGCTCCAACGCCGTCTTCGAAATCAAATCAAGGTCACATGAACCAATTGAGAACTCCTCAAGCAAAACGCCTCAATTTCAATCCCCCTAGGCCACATTTATCCCCTTTCCCCAATTCCGCCATTAAAGACTCTCAATCGGAGCATCCGGTTGAAGTAATCGGCCGGATCCGAGACTATCCGGAAAGGAAAGAGAAACCGGCTTCGATTCTTCAGATAAATCCCGACGGTCAGAACGTTAGGGTTCGGGCCGATTTCGGATACCGGGATTTCAGTCTCGACGGAATTTCGCTGTCGGAAGAGGAAGATCTGGACACGTTTTACAAGAAGTTCGTCGAAGCGAGGATTCATGGCGTTAAGTTGGGTGAGAAATGTACGATTATGATGTACGGACCTACCGGTGCCGGCAAGAGCCATACGATGTTTGGCTGTGCGAAGCAGCCGGGGATAGTGTATCGATCGCTGAAGGACATTTTAGGCGATGGAGAAGGTGAAGCTGACACTGCTGCCGGCGCAGGTGGCGGCGAACGGTTGAACGTCGGGATGTTTGTACAAGTCACGGTGCTGGAGATTTATAATGAAGAAATATATGATCTTCTATCGAGTAATTCTGGCGGAGGGCTAGGGCTTGGCTGGCCGAAGGGCAGTGCCTCTAAGGTAACATCACTTGACTCCCTACACTTGTTTCTTGAATTAGGTTAAAATAACATTTTGGGCTTCTTGGCTCTGTACTTCTATGTCAAAGTTTAGTGCAATAGTTTTCGGAAATGTTGAAAGTGGTTCATCCTGTTTGAGCTATAACTTAACGACTCTCCACAATAGTACGATATTGTCCACTTTAAGCATGAGCTCTCATGTCTTTGATTTGAGTTTTTTTAAGAGGTCTCGGAGCAATGTAGATGTATTCCTTACTTGTGACCTCATGATCATTCTCTAAATCGGTCAACGTGGGACTCCCTCCCAACAATCCTCCTCTCGAACAAAGTACACCATACAGCCCTACCCTGAGTTCTATGTAGCCCTCGAACAGCCTTCCCTAAATTGAGGATCAACTATTTTCTCTGGAACCCTCGAACAAACTACACCCTTTGTTCAACACATGAGTCCCTTTTGACTACACCTTCGAGGCTAGCAATTTCTTTGTTCAACACTTAAAAATTCTATTGACATGGCTAAACTAAGGGCATACTCTCAACAATAGTATGATATTGTCCACTTTGAGTGTAAGCCCTTATGTCTTTGTTTTGGGCTTACCCAAAAGACCTCGTACCGATGGAGATGTATTCTTTACTTATAAACCCATGATCATTCCCTAAATTAGCGTGTGACTCCCTCCCAACAATCCTCAATAAGTTGTTCATACAAATATTTTTCATGCAGCTGAGAAAATGTGATCTGTTTTGTTTGCTTGGACTGTGATCTCAAGGGACTGAAAGTTTGAGATCATTTTGTTGTTGCAGGTGAAGCTTGAAGTAATGGGGAAGAAGGCTAAGAATGCTACATATCTATCTGGGAATGAGGCAGGAAAGATCTCCAAAGAGATTCAGAAAGTGGAGAAAAGAAGGATTGTTAAAAGTACACTCTGTAATGAAAGAAGTTCAAGAAGCCATTGCATGGTATGTTTGAAGAACTGTCTTCTTTATCTAGTTCATGAAGTTTTGTAATGCTTATTATGTTCTGGATTTTTCATAGGTAATCCTCGACGTGCCGACGGTCGGCGGGCGGCTAATGCTCGTCGATATGGCTGGTTCTGAAAATATAGAGCAAGCTGGGCAAGTTGGATTTGAGGCAAAAATGCAGGTGAAAATTGTTTCAAGAACACAGTCCACCCCCCTTCCTCCTCCTGTGCTCTTTAAGAACTAAATATTTTCTTTCAATCACAGACAGCAAAGATTAATCAAGGTAACATTGCACTGAAAAGAGTGGTTGAATCAATTGCCAATGGTGATTCTCATGTGCCTTTTAGAGACAGTAAATTAACTATGCTTCTGCAGGTAACTTTCCTCCCCTCTGTGAAATTTCTTAGGCTTAGAATTCTTTGTTCTTGCTCAGATTCTGTTTATAATGGTGATTCTCTGTTTCTTTTGAGTTTTGCTCAGATTGTGACTGAAAGATTGATTTAGTTTGATCCAATTCTTCTGTTTAGGATTCTTTTGAGGATGATAAATCCAAAATTCTGATGATTCTGTGTGCCAGCCCTGATCCAAAGGAACTACACAAGACAATCTCTACGCTCGAATATGGCGCGAAAGCCAAATGCATTGTCCGTGGTCCTCACACGCCGACGAAGGATAAAGGCGGTGCGGACGATTCGGCTTCTGCTGTTATTCTGGGGTCGAGAATTGCAGCCATGGATGATTTCATTTTCAAGTTACAGAAGGAGAACAAACTCAGAGAGAAAGAGAGAAATGAGGCGCATAGAGAGCTCATGAAGAAAGAGGAAGAGGTATCGGAACTGAGAGCTAAGCTCGAGCTAGCGGGGTCGAGAGGATCTGGCCTTGTGAGTGAGGACGAGATCAATTCGAAGGTGAATGAAAGAACTCAACTTCTGAAACTTGAGTTAGAGAGGAAGCTGGAGGAGTGCCAGAGAATGGCCAATGAATTTGTTGAAGTGGAAAGGAGAAGGATGGAAGAAACAATAATGCAGCAGCAACAAGAAGTTGAAATGTTAAGACGACGCTTAGAAGAGATCGAAACCGAGCTATTGAATTCGAGGGATGCCACGAGCATCGACGTAAACAAATCAAGGGACATGGATGGCTGTAAGCTTGCTAAAAGGCTCTTAGGAGTTTATGCTAGTGCTGATGCAAGTATGGTGAAGTCCATGGACCTTGACATGGATGATCAAGAACCGACTCGCGAAGTAAGACTCATCGGCGGTGTGGATTATCAACCAACAACAACGAACAATGGTATCCAAAGCCTACTAGACAAAGTAAACGAGATAGTTGATCATGACGTGTTTTCATCGCGATTTGGGGATCGGGATAGAGTATGCCTGAGTACCGTGTTCGAGGAAGAAGAGGTAGAAGAGGAAGAGGAGAAGGAAGTTATAGAAGAAAAGAGAGTAGTGTGTACAGTTGAAGGACACAACGAACTGACACCAAATGGTATGAACAAAGTTCCCAAGGAGAGATCAGAGATCGGTATCGGATTGATGAACGATAACGAACACTCAAAGGACACAGCGTTCTCGAGAAAATTGAGAATTCAAAATATATTTACTCTTTGTGGAAACCATAGAGAGCTTTCTCAACAAGTTGGCTCAATGCCTGAGAAGAAGAGATCAGATGATGCTGAAAATCAGCACCTATCATCACCATTGAAGCCTGCACCAGATCATTACACTCAAATTCTTTCAGACCTGACGGTAATATTTATCGGTTTCGAAAAATTTAGTTCGTAACGTAAGAACAATCATTTCGACTCGTTTTTGTTTACATTGCAGAACAAGAATGGAGCATTGTTGACAGAAAATGAGGAGACAATGCAGGCTGTAAAGCTACAAGTAAAGGGAGGAGTAAACAGCCCTGGTTTTGTACCATTGAGTCCAATTCCATTGTGCTCAAAGGAGAACCAGCTACCCGTCACGCCGAGCGTCGTCGTATCACAGCAACACGATGGCCTATCGCCGCCGAGGCTCTGCGTTACGCCGTTCATCACTGTAAGAAGACACTGAGGGGAAAGGAAATGGGGGATTTATGTTAGGACTTTTACATATTTTGTTGTGGTTGAGTATATAGAGATGAGAATATACTCGTGTTGGACTGAACCCTGAAAAGTTGTTAATAGATTCATGAAATCCTCAATGTATTCAATTATATCTTATACTTTGTTATATATGGAACTTAGTCTTCATTCCCATTATTGTTCTTCTAAGAAAAAAAAAATTATGTAGGGATCTTTATTTCAAATATCGGTCGAGAACCCACTAATCTGAATAACTCGATTATCCCAGTCCAGCTAGTACTATTTGGGTATGGAAGATTTTGTTGATTCATGGCTCCCATGAAATTTTCTCGAGTCAAATCAAATCCATTTGAATTTATGTTTGTTGGTGATGGACTTGAGCTATTACAAATGGTATTAGACCTAGACACAAGGTGATGTGTCAACAAGGACACTGACTCCCTATAAGTCAGAGTGAACAATATTTACGGTGGACTTAGGGTGTTACAAACGGTATAAGACTTAGACACTAGGTGGTGTGTCGATGAGACGTTGGCTCCCATTAGGCCGAAGTAGACAATATTTTCTAGTGACAGAATTGAGTTGTTAAAAATAGTATAAGACAGAGACAAGGGTGATGTGTCAACCAAGACGCACGTCCCTTAAAAAGGTGGAATGTTGAATGTGAGATCACAGGGGAAAGAAAACATTTTTTTTATAAATATTTGGTTGTCGACTTGGTTTGTAAATAAATAAATAAATAAATAATTGTAACTGATTTTGGTTGAATTTATTATTTAATAGAAGTTAAAAAAAATTATTTAAAATTAAAAAAAAAAAACAAGAAAATAAAATGAACGTGGGCCGGAAGAGGCCCAAAAGAAAGCCTTCATTTGGGTCTAAACTTCCTTCGGAGGCCCAATTTGATGAGTATCCAATTAATTTGAGAGCCCTAGACAAAACTTATTATAAAATGCAGTAGGACAGCGTTTTATCCTTCCTTCCTCCATCGGCGCCGCTGCTCTCCACAGTTGTAAACCTCCCACAAGCCGCAAGAATGGTGAGATTCTCTCTGTAAATCATTTGTTTCTAGTTTCTCTTATCTCTGCTTTGTTCTTCAGTGTCTCAACCTGTTCATTTTGGTCTTTGGTTTTGTTTGTTTAGCCGTTCAAGAGGTACGTCGAGATCGGGAGGGTTGCCCTCGTCAACTACGGTGAAGATTACGGAAAGCTTGTTGTAATCGTTGATGTCATTGACCAGAATCGGGTAGGCACTCGCAATATCGTTTTATTCCATTTTTTGTAGATGTTATTCTGATGGTCTTTAGCAAGTCTTAGAGGAAAAATCCGTAGTCTTATTAATGTAGGTAGCTTCTGTGGAAATTCGTATTATAGGTCTTGGTGATGTAACTGCTGGATATTGAACTAGTTGTGTTCCAGTCTTCATGGTGTGTTTTCTTTTTTTCTTTTTTTGCCATACAATGTAATCCTTGAACTACTACTGGATATTGAGAATTTGAATTTTATAGATATTTTCGTTAGAACTTAAGAATCGATGGATTTGTACACTACTTTATTTCATTTGTAGAGTGTTGATATTGATGGTTGTCATTTCCAACATTCTTAATTGGTGGATTGAAGTTCTTTGATGCATAGAACTTGGGTTTTTGTTGCTTATCTGCAGAAGTATTAATTTACTAGCTCTAGTAATTTTGTATCTTTTTGGAATGAGTGAATTTTATGACTAGTTTCTTAATGGAGCCTTTTGTTAAATCATCTGCATGACTAGTTTGATTTTACGTTTGGACAGGCTCTGGTTGATGCCCCTGATATGGAGCGGTCTCAAATGAATTTTAAGAGACTTTCCCTGACAGATATCAAAATTGATATTAAGAGGGTCCCTAAGAAGAAGGAGTTGATTGAAGCAATGAAAGCTGGGGGTATGGAGTAATTCCTTGCAATCTCATCTCCTACTTATATTGTTTTAGTATGTGCTTAATAATTTTTCTATCCAATAATCAGATGTTCAGAAGAAATGGGAGGATAGCTCTTGGGGAAGGAAATTGATTGTTAAGAAGAGAAGAGCCTCTCTCAACGACTTTGACAGGTTCAAGCTTATGTTGGCAAAGATTAAGGTTCGTGCTGATTAGCTAATGCTTTTTAAGAACAATTGATAACATTTGAACTTATGGGTCTTGGTTTATGCAGAGGGCTGGATTGGTTAGACAAGAGCTCTCCAAGTTGAAGAAGGCCGAGGCTTAGAGGTTCATTTTTTCAACGGATTCTCTCATTTTGATGTCATCTTTCATTTAACTACTGTAGTAGGTCTTTGTTTTTTTGTTCCCAACTTTTGTTAGCAGTCTTTGTGTTCAACTTCTCACATTTAAATTATAGTACGCCAATTTCTTATTTGGATTTCCATAGAAACAACTTTATCATCCTCTTATTTATAAGGTACTTGTTTAAATTGGCTTGAATGATAGTACTGGTTTTTCATTTCTTTAAGAAAGTTACTTTACTGTGAGTTAATGTCTCTATGATTTGCCCATTATTCTTCATGGTAGTTGATTAAGTATCTTTTTTAGTGTATTCACTGAATTCATATGCTCCCTCTCCACATGTTGAACATAGAAAGAAAATTTTCTTATTCTTTGTATCCAAATGTATATCCTTATTCATAATTAGTGTAGGGTCTCTAGAGATTACTACCAGAATGCACCTTATTGTTGAGTTTGAAGCGTTGATCACAATCTTAGGTTGGTTTGGATTGGGTCTTTTTTGTTTTTTTTGAACTGCATAAGAACATTCAAAGAAACCATTAGTTATGGATGTTTGATATCTTCTAATTGAACTATGAAACATTTTAGTTGGTTCGTTCGTTTGCTTTTGAGTCCTTTACTAGTAACTTTAAGTAGCCTTCTAATTTCATTCTAGATTCGATTTTTGATATGGTTATTGGTATCTTTATCCATGAAGTTGTGTTTGGATTGACGTTGAGCTTTAATTCTTTCTCTTATTTCTTCTATCAAACCAAACCAAACCGAACCTAGATAAAACGACTTAAAAATTTCTCACTTTTGGAATGAATGTTTACATTTCGGCTTATTGCTCTTAGCCCCACTTTCAATCTTAATGATAATCACAAGATTGTGTCATGATATTCAATTATTCTAAAGAAGGTTTTTTTTTTTTTTTTTTTTTTTTT